AGGTTGAGCGTCTGATTGAAGCAGTGGATGATCTGGACACACTGGACGACTGCAGCGCTGTTCTCTCACAACTTCAATGAACAAACACACAAAGTGATTTTCTGAAAAGCAAAAAAATATATTATTGTAAATACAGCATTCAAGTCAAACTGATCACATTGCTGAATAATCAGTATGTGCATCATTGTCATGGCATGTGTTTTACTGACATTACAGCTGAAACATTTTCTGGTAACTCTTTACAATAAGGTACACAACATTTGATTAACTACTAGGGAACGCCTCCAGAACAAATCCGGAGCTAATGGGTGGTTAACCAGTACTTACTGGGGAACACACATCCAAGCTTTATTAGAGGACTGCTGGCTTGTTACCTTATAAATGAAGATTAACTAATCAAGAACTAATGAGTAGTTACCAAGGATACCAAAGAGGAACGAATCAGGAGCTAATGGGATTTTAACCAGTACTTATTGGGAAACACAATCAAGCCTGAAGCCCTCAGTATACTGCCGCGTACATCCGTTCACGCATACGTACGCGTGTACTGTACGCAAAGGGTTCAAATTTCAGACTCCTGCGTACACCCCGAGCAGCTGCAGAGCAGCTTCACAGACAAGGGGCGTTTACCTTTGGGACAAATTGAGGTCGCCGATTGGTCATTTGCTGACACGCCTATTGGATTGATTGACAGGTAGGAAAAAAAAAGAGCTCTGGCAGCCACAGCGGTGTTCTGTGTTTATATGTTGTTAATAAAAAGATTAAAAAAAAAAAAAAACAGAGAGCGCTGGCTCTACAGCCCACATATCAGACCAGCCCACCAGGAAATCTCCAGACCCTCCCGCAGCCACTCTGGACCTGAGTTTAATTTGCTCGTGACAAATTCCTTAATTTCTCACCATTTCAGTCATGGCATCAACGGAGGAGGAAGAGATCACTTGTCTCTTCGCAAAAAAACAAAAGAAAAGGCCAGATCAGAGATGAAGAAGGGGAATTTAATACATTGGTGTCGCATACAAAACAGTCCGTCGCTGGGCAGTTTATTGTGCGACACCACGTACGCGTATGCGGTCGTCAAAAATTGAGCTTTGCCCGGACATGCCCTGGGGGGTACATTCGTACCTCTGCGTACGTACGTGCGTACGTCTGCGTATGGCCGTATGCGGGAGTATACTGGGGGCTTTATTAGGCGACTACTGGTTTGTTTCCACAGAAACAGAAGAGAAATTCCCCATGTGGGATTTGAATAAAACCTGCAACAGTGAGGTCACAGCTCAAACATATTCAAGATGACAGCTGTACAAGATCATGAAATCAGTTAGAGGTAAGAATCCAATAAAATCAATAATCAATAGGAAACAGGTTTTTGACAAAAATGAGCTGTGACCTCACTGGTACAGGGTTGATTCAAATCCCACATCAAGAATTTCTCCTCTGTTTCTGTGGTAACAAACCATTAGTCCCCTAATAAGGCTTGGCTGTGTGTTACCCAGTAAGTACTGGCTAACTACTTTAACTCCTGATTTGTTCCTTTTTGGTTTCCTTAACTACCCATTAGTTATTGATTAGTTCCTCTTTATTTACAAAGTAACTAACTAGTAGTCTCCTAATAAGGCCTGGCTGTGTGTTTCCCAGTAAGTACTGTTTAACTACCCATTAGCTCCTGATTTGTTCCTGATTCGTTCCTAAGGCGTTCCCTAGTACTTTATCAAATAGTGTGTACCTTATTGTAAAGTGTTACCCATTTTCTGTATTTTTACACCTTCTGATTTATAAACGTTATTGTTGTCATTAGTTTACACATGTCAAGCAAGTACAATTTCAAAGTCAAGCCTGAAAGAATGGGTGTAATATTTCAAAATGTGTCTTTGTTGTGGGTGAATGAGATCAAAAACTGTACAAATACACTTTTCTATGCAGTGTGAACATGTGCGTGATAACATTACAAAGGGTTTTATAGAATCTAGATGGAAAAAGTGCTGCATGAATTATCTATTTATCTGTTTATGCTAACATTTTGCTACTCTAAACTTTGTCTTGTGGTTATTTGAAAGGAACCAATTTTCATGTGTAAAAATTAATTATTTTTAAATGTAACATATACAGGTCAATAAAATTACAGTGTCTTATCAGAAATGGTTGCTATGAGTTGTTTTACTTGATTTTTGTTTATTTAATCAATCAACCTTTCATCATCCCTTTAAGACCCATTTAAAAATTGTACTACAGTTCATCTAACAAAGTTAAGTAATGTCCTCTGGACGGATTAAATTTTTTTTTGTTTTAATAAATCTTGTTGAAACGTTTCATCTTTAATCCAAAATACTTTGTCAGTCTGAGGAGCTGCACTAAACTCTGTCATAAACAGACCCATCTCATAGTGGATCAAGCAGTTAACCCAACATTTTTCACTCAGGTAATCTGGACAGTTTATTTTTTGTGCTGAAACGTTTCGAGATATTCACTTACAATATAAGGGGTGGGGGGATTCAGTTTGGTTCAGTAAACTGTCAGCTCAGTTATAAACCTGGTCTCTGCACCTCCATAGAGTCTGATTCAGTGTAGTAGAGTTTCTCTGTGGAGCATTTTATTTTGCCAAGTTATCACCAAAGCACCATTAAACTGGGCAAAAAACAAAACAAACAAAAAAAAAACCTCTCTAGATCCTGTTTGTAAATGAGAAAAAAAAACAAAAAACTTTTTTTTTCTACTGCAATTAGTATAAGACAGCACTTAGAAAGATTTTCATTTAAAAGTATAATTTTGCTAAACATTTTGGAACTTAAACAGGGGTGGAGGCCTCCAGGTGCAACTGTCCCCCTCTTACAATGCTGTTATTGCTAGTATCACTCAACCCCCTGTGAATAGTAAACAGCCATCAGTGTGCTAATGATCCATTGTTAGGCTGATGGTCCTTCTTGACCATGTGAGCAGCTGGTTTTGGTTGTCAGCAGCAAAACTGGTTGATCCACTCTGAGAAGGTGCTATTTAAGAGACTGAGCTGAATACAGCACCTCAGACTGAGGAAGTCTCTCGGATGAGAGACGAAACGTTTCTGCATTTTTTTTGCTTTATTTTGTTTTTTCTTTTTTGTTTTCTTGTTTTTTGAAAGTCCAGAGGACCAGATTGAACTTTTTTGGATTTTGGAACTTCTTTTAAATGCAGTATCTAAAATAAACTACTTTTTACTTTACAAAAGCAGATGCTTTTGTTTAAACAAACTAATGTATACATTAAGTCCAAGTATGCTATTTTACCTATATAACATTTATATTTTGTTAATATTTTTTTTTCTTATAGAAACATTTCATATCATTCAGGCACATGACACATGATTTGTATTTTCATAAATAACATTAAAAAAAAATTACAATTTCTAATGCCCGTAATATTATCCCAGATCTCTTGTTGTGACATTGAAAGCAAGTCTGACAATGACGTGAGGTTTTAGGTTACAATAAGTGAAATATTTTAAAAGGGTCTCAAAGGGATGAAGAAAGGTCCATCCATCCATCTATGGGTCTCCTCCAAGTTGGAATGCCGGAAGAACCTTTCTAGGGAAGCACTCAGGAAGCATCCTTACCAGATGCCCGAACCACCTCAACTGGCTCCTGGAGGAGCAGCGGTTCTACTCTGAGTTTCTCCCGGATGACAGTTCTCACCCTATCTCTAAGGGAGAGTCCAGCTACCCTGCGGAGGAAACTAATTTCAACCGCCTGCATCCGCAATGCCATCCTTTCGGACACTACCCAAAGTTTGTGGCCATAAGTGAGGATAGGAACATAGACTGACTGGTAAAAAGAGAGCTTTGCCTTACAACTCAACTCCCTCTTCACCACAATGCACCAGAACAGAGTCTGTAACTGCAGATGTTGCACCAATCCGTATGTCAATCTCAAGCTCCATTTTTCCCTTACTAGTGAACAAAACCCCAAGATACTTTAACTCCTCCACTTGAGGCTGAACCTCACCCTCAACCTTAAGAGAGCAATCTACCCTTTTCTGACTGAGGACTATGGCCTCATATTTGGAGGTGCTGATTCTCATCCCAGCCGTATCACACTCAGCTGTGAACCACTCCAATGAAAGCAGGAGATCATGGCATGATGATGCCAACAGGGCCACATCATCTGCAAAGAGCAGGGTTGGAATCCTGAAGTCATTGAACCACAATCCCTCTGCCCTCTGACTGCACTGAGACATTCTGTCCTTAAAAGTTATGAACAGAATCGGTGACAATGAGTAGCCCTGGCATTGACCAACTCCCACCCTGAAGGAGTCTGACTTACTACCGGCAATGCAAACCAAACTCGCACCTCTTATATAGGGACCGACCAGCCCGTATCAATGGACCCTCAATCCCATACTCACCGAGCACCCCCACAGTGTGCCTCGAGGAACAGTCAAAAGCCTACTCCAAGTCCACAAAACACATGTAGACTGGATGTACAAACTCCCATGGCCCCTCGAGGACCCTAGTGAGGGTAAAGAGCTGATCCAGTTTTTTTTCCACAGCCAGGACTGAACCTGCATTGTTCCTCTTGGATCTGAGGTACGACCAACGATCTGACATGCTTCTCCAGTACCCCTGAATAAACATTACGCGGGAGGATAAGGAGAGTTATGCCCCTATAATTAGAGCACACCCTCCAGTCCCCCTTTTTAAAGAGTGATACCACAAACCCAGTCTGTCAATCCAGTGGCACTGCCCCTGATGTCCAGTTGATGTTGCAAAGGTGTGCCAACCAAGACAGCCCCACAGCATCCAGGGTGAATTTCATCTGCTCCCAGAGCCCTGCCACCTCGGACCTTTTTAACCATCTCGGCAACCTCAACCACGGTTATGGATTGACTGACCCTGAAGGCTCCCAAATCAGCTTCCTCCATGTAAGACATGCTGGTGGGATTGTCTGAGAAGTATTTCTTCCACCTCCTGATGACATCACTATTTGAGATCCACAGCACCCCATCTTTACTGAAAACAGTGTTAGTAAAGTGCTGTTTTCCCCTCCTCAGCCTCCTGATGGTTTGTCAGATTCTCCTCAGAGCTGACTGAGAGTATTTATCCAAGGCCTCACTGAACTCCTCCCACATCCAAGCTTTTGCCTCAGCTGCAGGCAAGGCTGCAAATTGTTTGGCCCTCCTTCCAGTACTGCTTCGCTGCCTCTTTAGTCCCTCCAGCCAACAAGGGCTGATAGGACTCCTTTTTCAGCTTGACAGCATCCCTAACCTTGGGTGTCCACCATTGAGTTTGAGGATGGCCACTGCAGGAAGCACCAACAACCTTGCAGCCACAGCTCAAGGAAGATACTTCAAGATTTGAGGTGTGAAACATAGCCCACTCTGCCTCAATGTCCCCCGCCTCACCTGGGATATGGTTAAAGCTCTCTGGAGCTGCAACTTGAAGATGTTTCTGATGGATTCTTCTGCCAGGCGTTCCCAGCAAATCCTCTCTATACGTTTAGGTCTAACGGGTCAGTCCGGTGTCTTCCCCCGCCATTTGACCCCACTCACAGGTGGTGATCAGTTGAACGCCCAGCTCCTCTCTTCACCTGAGTGTCCAAAGCTATTGGCCGGAAATAAGATGGCACAACTAAAAAGTCAGTAATCGATCAACAATCAAAGTCATCCTGGTTCCAAGTGCTATTACACTATGTTGGAATCCTTATGTTTGAACAATGTGTTGGTGATGGACAAAATATGACGTGCACAGAAGTCCAACAACAGAATGACGATCAAGTTCAGATCAGAGAGGACGTTTCTCCCAATCACGTCCCTCCAGGTCAAACTGTCATAACTCATGTGTGCATTAAAGTCCCCCAGCAAAATAAAGGAGTCCCCAGTTGGTGCACATTTCAGCACCCCCGCCAAGGACTCCAAGAAGGCCAGATACTCTGAACTGCCATTTGGCACATAGGCACAAACAACAGTCAGAACTCGTCCCACTACCCAAAGGCGGAAGGAAGCCACCCTCTCTTCTACCGGGGATAACTCTAGCACACAGATACCGTTCGGGGGCCAAAAGTAGACCTACACTAGCTCAGCGCCTCTCACCATGGGCAGCTCCAAAGTAGAATAAAGTCCAGGCCCTCTCAAGGAGATTGGTTCCTGAGCCCATGCTGTGAGTTGAGGTGAGTCCAACTATATCTAGTCGGTACCTCTCAACCTCGCACAAGATCAGGCTCCTTCCCTGCCAGAGAGGATACATTCCTTGTCCCAAGAGCCATCTTTGGTAAGCCAGGGTCAGAACACCAAAGTCCCTGCCTTCAGCCGCTGCCCATGTCATCATGCACCCAACTTGTATGGCCTCTCCTGCAGGTGGTGGGGACACAGGAAGGAAAACCCATGTTACTTCTTCAAGATGAGCCGGACCAGGCCCCATGACTAGAGACCTGGGCACCAGGTGCCCACTAGTGTGCCCTGCCCCAGGGCTGGCTACAGGGTGGTCCCGATAACCCACATCCGGGCAAGGGTTACTGAGCTCCTTGTTTTAATTTGTCCATAGAAGTCTTCTGAAATGATGAAAGCCCGATTGATTAAATAAAAATAAATAAATTAAACAACACGTAGCAACCTTTTTTGATTTGAGAATCTTATTTTATTGACATTTTGTTCGTTACAATTGAAAAAAAAATATTCTTACATATGACAATAGGTTACTTGAGAATAACCTAAAGACAAAGTTTAGAGTAGCCAAACGTTAGCATAAATATATACATAGATAATTCATGCAGCACTTTTTCTGTCTAGATTCTATAAAACTATTTGCAAAGTTATCACTCTCATGCTGATACAGCATAAAAAAGTATATTTGTACAGTTTTTGATCATTCACCCACCACAAATACACAATTAAGATATTACAGCCATCATTTCTTGTTTTTCTTTTACATTTTACTTGCTTCACATGTGTAAATTAATGACAAAAATAACAATTTTTTACATCAGAACGTGGAAAAATACAGAAAATGTTTCATCTACAACGTTTTTAAAACATTTGCCATGACCATGAAACACAGACTGATTATTCATCAGTGTGATCATTTTGACTTGAATGCTGTATTTACAATTATGTTTTTAGATTTGCAGAAGGTAACTTTGTGTGTTCGTTCATTGAAGTTGTGAGAGAACAGCGCTGCAGTCGTCCAGTGTGTCCAGATCCTCCACTGCTTCAATCAGAAGTTCAACCTTCTCTGGTGGAAGCACCACACCTGCATTGTTTCTGAACTT